ACCATCTCAGGTACCACCACAACCATCCCAGTGACCACCACGACCACCCCAGGGACTACAACGACCAACTCTGGGACCACCACCACAGCCCCAGGTACCACCACAACCACCCCAGGGACAACCACAACCATCCCAGTAACCACCACGACCAACTCTGGGACCACCACGACCATCTCAGGGACCACCACAACCACCCCAGGGACCAACACAACTACTCCAGGGACCACCATGGCCACTCCAGGGACCACGTCCTCCACCCCAGGGACCTCCACAACCATCTCAGGGACCTCCACGACCAACTCTGGGACCCCCATCACAATCCCAGGTATCACCACGGCCACTCCAGGGACCACCACAACCACCTCAGTGACCTCCTCGAGCACCCAGAGGACCTCCACAGCAATGTCCACCACTCCAGGGACCACCCCAACCACCCTTTGGACCACCACTGCTCCTCCTTTAGGTGAGTCCTCCCCAGATGACCTCCACGCTCAGCTGGGGTGTCCCCGTGACCCGGCTGATGTCCCCGTGTCCCACCAGGGCTGTGTGAGAACGGGGGGACTTTTGCTGGCACCGGTTGTCTCTGCAGCCCGTCCTACGCCGGTCCACGCTGCGAGTTCTCCACCGACACCGTGGAGACCAACCTGCGTGAGTGGTGGCCCCACCCCACACCTGGGGGACCTGGGCATCTCGGGGGTCCTGGTGGTTCTTGGGGGGTTCTGGTCTTCTTGGGGATCTTGGTCTTGGTGGTCCTGGTCACCTTGGGGGTTCTGGGCACCTTGGGGCACCTGGTCTTCTTGGGGGTCCTGGTGCTTTTGGGGGGTCTTGGTCTTCTTGAGGGTCCTGGGCATCTCAAGTGTTCTGGTCTTCTTGGTGGTCCTGGTCACCTTGGGGGTTCTGGTGCTTTTGGAGGTTCTTGGTCTTCTTGATGGTCTTGATCATCTTAGTGGTCCTGGTCATCTTGGGGGGCTCTGTGCACCTTGAGGGTTTTGGTCTTCCTTGGGGATCTTGGGCTTGGTGGTCCTGGTCTTCTTGGTGGTCCTGGTCACCTTGGGGGTTCTGGGCACCTTGGGGGATCTGGTGTCTTTAGGGAGTTCTGGTCTTCTTGGTGGTTCTGGGCACCTTGGGGGGCCTGGTCTTCTTGGGGGTCCTCAGCACCTTGGGGGTTCTGGTGTCTTTAGGGGGTTCTGGTCTTCTTGGGGGTCCTGGTGGTTCTGGAGGTCCTGGTCACTTTGGTGGTCCTGGACACCCTGGAGGTCCTGGTCACTTTGGTGGTCCTGGACACCCTGGACGTCCTCACCCACCCTGTCCCACCCCACTGACCCCTTCTCCCCATTGCCCCTCCAGCGTTCCCTGGGACCATCATGGCCACCCTGGACATGAAGGTGACCGTCACCAACTTCAACTACTCTGAGGACCTGGAGGACCCCACCTCCAAGACCTTCCTCTTCTTCCAGAACCACTTCCGGCAGGAGGTGAGGCCGTGGGGAGCCCGGTGTCCCACCATGGCCACCGTGTCCCCTCAGGGGTGGCCAAGTGACCTTTTGCCCTTGCAGATCAAGAAGATCTACGGGACCATCCCTGGTTACGAGGGCGTGGAGATCACCAGCCTCAAGTAAGGGGTCCTCACCACCCCCAAGGGTGGGGTGGGGTGGGGTTGGGGTGTCCCCAAACCCCTCTGTGACCTCCCGTGTCCCCTCCCCAAAGGTCCGGCAGCATCGTGGTGGGACACCAGGTGTTCTTCACCATGGCCCAGAGCAGCAACACCACGGAGAAGTTCCAGGAGACCACGGACAGGTTGAAGGAGAACCTCCAGGAGGCAGTGGACAGACAGGGCAACTGCCAGTACAACACCTGTGGGTGACCCCGAAGCCCCCCCAGATCCTCCTTGACCCCTGCGGGACCTCCCCTGGACCTCTGGGGCACCCAAGGGTGGTCTCTGATGTCTTCTCCTCCCACCCCAGCTGTGCTGTGCCTGAGAGACGACCCCGTGGTCGGCGACATGAGGGAGGTGTTGGACCTGGATGGTGAGAACGGCGGGGAGGTCTCGGCCACCCCATGG